AATTCACAGCCCCCCATAAGTTTTTCTCTTTTTATCAGACACTACTGCAGTGGATGTTTTCTCATCAAAATACAAACCATTTTCATTACAATACTGACTTGGTTGTTGCTAGTCGCAAAGTCATGTCCAACCTATTGTGACCCCATGGACAACACTCCTCCAGGCCTTCCTGTCCTCCGCCATCCCCCGGAGTCCACCTAAGCTCACGCCGACTGCTTCAGTGATTCCATCCAGCCACCTCCTCCTCTGCCATTCCCATCTTCTTTTGCTGTCAATCGTTCCAGCATTAGCCTCTTCTCCAGGGAGTCCATCCTTCTCATTAGGTGGCCAAAGTATTTGAGTTTCATCTTCAGGATCTGGCCTTCTAAAGAGCAGGCAGGGTTGACCTCCTCCAGGACTGACTGGTTTGATCGCCTTGCAGTCCAAGGGACTCGCAGGAGTCTCCGCCAGCACCACAACTCAAAGGCCTCAATTCTTCGGCACTCAGTCTTCCTTATGGTCCAGCTTTCACAGCCATACATTGCAACTGGGAAAACCATAGCCTTGACTGTACGCACTTTTGTTGGCAGGGTGATATTCTATTCCTCTTCTTCTCAATTCTATTCAGCTCTCTTTCTATGTTTCTATAATCAGTCAGTCCATTCTCTAAGCAATGTGTGGGTCCACCTGCCGTGGGGTGCACATCCTCCAATTTCTGTGCAGCCCCACAAACCTCAGCACTGCTGGTGCAGAAATTGTGGTAGGATGATTGCCACCCACCCCACAAAATGGCTGTTTACAAAGAAACAGAGTGAGTCAGAAGGGGTCTCCCGAGCCATCTAGTCTGACCCCCAGCTCCAGTCAGCTCTGCTCATAGAAACAGGGCAAGTCAGAAGGGGTCTCCCGAGCCAACTAGTCTGACCCCCAGCTCCAGTCAGCTCTGCTCATAGAAACAGGGCGAGTCAGAAGGGGTCTCCCGGGCCATCTAGTCTGACCCCAGCTCCAGCCAGCTCTGCTCATAGAAACATAGAAACAGAGCGAGGCAGAAGGGGTCTTCGGGCCATCTAGTCTGACCCCGGCTCCAGCCAGCTCTGCTCATAGAAACATAGAAACAGAGCGAGGCACCCCGGGCCATCTAGTCTCCGGCCAGCTCCGTTTGTGACATGTGCAAGTGCAGCCTGTCCTTTAGACTGGCATCCTTAGGACAAAGCTCAGACAGGACTTTTTCGGCTGCTGCTGCAGACTCATTTCCCCCTCTGCTGGCTCAGCACTGGAATCCAGGCCCCCAGAAACTGCCCTCCCCAGCTGGTGGAAAGACCAGCAACCCCTCCAATGCAACCTTGAGCAGCTCAAGGTGGGGGGCAGGGGGGCAGTGCAGAAGAAGACCCCACTGCCAGTCCTTCCCAAATCAAAATCCACCCTGAACAAACCTTGTTTTTCTTCTGAATGTGCTTCATTATGAAAAATGAGCCAGGCTCAGCTGCCTTTTTGGCGATCCAGTTCAGTATATGGGGACACAATGGTCGTTTTTGGAAGAGGGCTTTCCCCAGCTGGGCTTGAGGCCCCACAGAGAATCCAGCTTCCTGCGGCCTGGACACGCCTTCTCCTAACAATTCTGACATCATGGTGATGCCACCTGCTTGCTCTCCTTAAGGCTCAAGAGATTTTGTCCTCCAACATCACCTTATTTATTTTTATTTATTTATCTTTTGATTTATATCCTGCTTTTTTCCTAACATGGGCTCAAGGCAGCTTACATCTCCTCCTCCATCTTATCCCCACAACAACAATCCTGTGAGGTAGGTTGGGCTGAGAGTCTGTGACTGGCCCAAAGTCACCCAGTTGGCTCTATGGCTGAGTGGGGACTAGAACCCAGATTGTCTGAGTCCCAGGCCCTCACTCTTAACCACTACACCACACTGGCTCTCTTGGACATAGAAACTGAGAAACCAAGCAAGACAGAGTGAGAAGGCTGTTGTGAGGGGGTCTGTGGAAATGCCCACGACTGACGGAACTGTTGCAGAGATAGATAGGTAGGTAGGTAGGTAGGTAGGTAGATAAAAAGGTAAAGGTTTTCCCTTGACGTTAAGTCCAGGCATGCCTGACTCCAGGGGGCGGTGCTCCTCTCCGTTTCCTAGCCGAGGGAGCCTGTGTTTGTTCGCAGACAGTCTCCGTGGGCATGTGGCCGGCATGACTAAACACTGAAGTGCACTGGTTCCTTTTTATCTACTTGCATTTGCATGCTTTCGAACTGCAAGTTTGGCAGGAGCTGGGACGGAGCAATGGGAATTCACCCCGTTGTGCAGATTCGAGCCGGCGACCTTTCAATCAACCAGCCCAGCAGCACAGCGGTTTAAACCACTGCACCACCTGTAGTCCCTAGATAGATTTATTTATTTATTTAGGGCATTTAGAGGCCGTCCCATCACTGTCGTCTCTGGACGGCTTACCATATAATATAAGTCCTAAACAAAACAAATTGGCCATACCCCGACTGACTATAAAATGACATAGTGAAAATAAATGAAATGGATAAATATGCAATTAAAATCAATTAACATTAAAATCTTGGTCAGATCAGGTTTTGACCTGGTGCCGAAAAGCATATAATGATGGTGCCAGGCAGACCTCTCTGGGGAGCGCATTCCATAGATGACCCCACCAAAAAGGGGGACCTGGCCTGGAACGGCTCACTGGACCGACTGCACCCCCTCCCAAGGCCAAGGGGAATCTTCCAAGTGAGCACCCACAGGAGGGCTGGGGCGGAGGCAGGAGGCCAACGAGCAGAACAGTCCTTGGCATGCCCACCGTAGCCTCCACCCGAGCCTGCTCCTCTGCTGGAAGGAGCCACAGTGGTTTGCCACGCCGAGTCTGCGAGGGAACCTGACATGCCCAGGCACTGTGCCCAAGGTGGGTGGTGTTAAGGAAGCCCCACGACCCTCACTTGCCCTAACCCTTCGCTCAAGTTCCCAGCGGTGCAGGGGATATTTGAGGCCCACAGGTGAGGAAAGCAAACTTCACCTTGCATCTGATGCTGATGTCCGGTAGCACAGGGCCACAGGGTTGGTGGCTGGTTTGCAGGGGAAGCCGTATGAGGCAAGACTGAGGGAACTGAGTCTTTTCAGTCTGGAAAAGAGGAGACTCCGAGGGGATATGGAGTCTGTGTGGCCTGTCTCCAAGAGTCAGTGTGGCGTAGTGGTTAAGGGCACGGGACTGGGACTCAGACAATCTGGGTTCCAGTCCCCGCTCAGCCATGGAGCCAACCGGGTGACTTTGGGCCAGTCACAGACTCTCAGCCCAGCCTACCTCACAGGGTTGTTGTTGTGGGGATAAGATGGAGGAGGAGAAATGATGTAAGCTGCCTTGAGCCCTTTGTAGGAAAAAGGCAGAATATAAATCAATCAATATGTTGGTGACATATAGGTATGTGAGGGAGTGTCAAACGGAGGTGGGTAGAGATCTGTTCTCCCCTGCAGAGGAGGGCAGGATGCGCTCCAACGGAGCCAAGCTCAGGGAACCAAGGTTCAATTTGAATGCCAGGAAGCACTTCCTGACAATCTGGACCCCGAGGGTGTGGAATGGGCTTCCACGGGAGGTGGTTGAGGCCCTATCGGTGAGGGTGTTCAAGGATAGGCTGGACATGCACATGGTGGGCATGTGAGCGGAGCCGGCTGCAGCTGGGGGTCAGACTAGATGGCCCGGGAGACCCCTTCTGACTCGCTCTGTTTCTAAGTAACTTACTGCCCTCTGAACTGAGTATGAGCTCAAGTAACAGCGGTGGCGAGGAGCGCTTTCTTTCAGCTTCGGCTGATTCACCAGCTGCGTCCCCACCTGGAGAATGACTGCCTGGTGACAGCGACACACGCACTGGTAATTTCCCGACTAGACTTCTGTAATGCGCTCTATGTGGGGCTGCCCTTGAAGATGGTCCGGATACTTCAATTGGTGCAAACTGCCAGGTTGCTGACGGGGACTGGGCGTTGTGCTCACATAACTCCAGTACCCCGTCAGCTTCACTGGCTCCCCATTGGCTTCCGGGCCCAATTCAAGTTGTTGGTTATCACCTATAAAGCCCTTAACGGCTTGGGTCTGGGTTACCTAAAGGAGCGCTTATGTCCATAAGTGCCCTCCTGCCCCTTGAGATCAGCGGCAGAGTCCCTTCTCCGGGAGCCCTTTGTGAAGGACATTAGGAGGGTGAGTACCCAGAGGAGGGCTTTCTCTGCCGTGGCGCCCAACCTATGGAATGCGCTTCCCAGAGAGGTCCGCCTGGCGTCGTCGTTATTTGCTTTTCGGCGCCAAGCCATGACCTTTTTATTTAAACGGCATTTTAATTGTTGATTTTATTTATTGATTTTAACAACTTTGGCCAGAATGTCTCCTCCAACTGCATTTTATTATATTAATGATATTTATTTATTTGTAAGCTGCCCCGAGGCTTAGGCGAATGGGGCGGCATATAAGTCCGCTAAATAAATAAAAATCCAAAGATGGTATTTGATCCTTCTGGAAACGTTTTGCCAATGGGCTGGTTCTTGGGACTGAAGGATTGTCACGGGAACCAAGATTTAGAGTGGAAGCCAGGAAGCACTTCCTGACAGGTAGGACCCCAAGGGTACGGAATGGGCTCCCATGGGAGGTGGTTGAGGCCCCACCGGTGAGGGTGTTCAAGGACAGGCTAGACATGCACATGGTGGCCATGTTCTGAGCGGAGCCGGCTGAAGCTGGGGGTCAAACTAGATGGCCTGGGAACCCCTTCCAACTCTCCGTTCCTATCTTTCTCGGTTTCTATGCACACCCAGTCTAGAATCACTTAAGACTTAACTAAAGGTTTCACAGTCCAGGGCAAATTGCCTGGCTGCCTTTGGAGGAGCTTTCGCTTCGCAGCGCTCACAGCCTCTTTCCGGCCTCTGCCTACGAAATCGGGCGGCGCGTCCACCATTGGTCAAATATTTCTGCGGGGCCGATCCGGCTCTGCAAGCGAGGCGAGCCCGCCGTGGTGCAGCGAGACGGATGGCGCCGGTTCGGTGGTCCGCCCTGCTCGTGGGGGCGGCGGCCTTCCTGCTGGGGGGCCGCTCCGGTGAGTGCCTTGCGGGGCCAACGGAAGCTGCAGGCAAGCCTTCGCGGGGGTGGGGGTGGTGCGTGTTTCTTGGAAGATTTCCCCACCGTGGAATCTGGAGTCAGTCCGCTTTCTGATCCGCTTTCGCCCCAAAGGCTGCTGCGGCGTCGCCTGCTGCCGGCCGGCCCGCCCGCTCCGCGCACCGCGAAGAGCAACCCCGACCGAGCCGCTAAATGCAATGAGTGGGGAGGGGGTGGAAGCCGCGCCTCTTTCCCTTCTGGGGTCACGTGCTTGTTGGGATCGAGCCCCCATCCCCGCACCCACTGCGGCCAAACAGTCCTCCTGCTTCTGGCCCACCCCTAGCCCCCCAGATCCCCACCGCTTCGCTCCTGCTCTCTGGCGTCCGTGCCTGGGCGCGCATGGGGCTCCCTGAAAGCGAGAGCGCGCCCCCGCCGTGTTTGCGTGAGCGACCCCCTCCCTGGCCCTCCTGCACCCTCCTGCCCCACCCGCGGGCCCCCGGGTCCTGCCGCCCCGGGATCCGGAGCCCCCACGGAATCCCCTAGGGCGATCGTGGCGCGGCGCGGCGCGGCGCGGCGCAGGGGCAGCGCTTCCCCTCCCGATGCTGGAGGTGCCCCGCGAAGCGCGGTGCTGGGTGGGGAACGCCGGGGCTTTCCGGGCTTTCGCCTGCCCCACTGGGCATGCGGTTCTGCTCTCCGCGAGCTGGGGGTTTTGCCTCTTCTTGAGGCATCTGGTGGAGGAGCAGTTTCAGCTTCCGTTTTTTTGTTGCTTTGCTCCTCTGTGGTTTTGTGACATGCTCTGGGAGTGATTTTAGGAGCCAAAACTGTCAGGGGCACCCGTTACGGGAAGTCAGATTTCCGCCTGACTTCAGGAGAAATGTCCTGCCTGTTTTGTTGTTGCTAGTCACGAAGTCATGTCCGACCCATCGCGACCATCGCGACCCCATGGACAACACTCCTCCCTGTCCTCCGCCATCCCCCAGAGTCCACCTGAGCCCACATCCTCAGCCCCAGTGACTCCATCCAGCCACCTCCTCCTCTGCTGGCCCCTTCTTTTGCTGTCAGTTGTTCCCAGCATTAGGCTCTTCTGCAGGGACTCCTTCCTCCAGTTCCAAGAGCACATCTTTGCTCTTAAGGGTGGGTTGGCTCCTTGCCCAGTGCTCACAGCTAAATAATATCTAGTTGCAGCTTTGACTTCAAGCAACACAATAAAAATGCATGCAAAAAAAAAAATACTTTTAGTTAGTATGGACAGCTTGTAATGATGCACTTTCTTGAAAAGCGATGAATATTTATTTATTTAGGAAATATATAGGCCGTTCATCACTGTCATCTCTGGATGGGTTACAGAATTATCCTAAATCCTGAACAAAATATATTAACTATTTCACGAACTGAGCAGAAAACAGACATATTTAAAATAAATAAATCATGTACAATTAAAATGGGTTGATGTTAACATATTGATCAAATATTTATTTATTTGGAATTTTTATATGCCGCCCCATTCGCCAAAGCCTCAGGCGCCTTCCAACACAAATAAATAACAATACAAATACATAAAAAACTGGAAACATCCTGGCATAAATATAAAATCAATAAATAAAATCAGCAATTAAAATAAAGTTTAAATAAAAAGGTCTTGGCCTGGCGCCGAAAAGCAAATAACGACGGCACCAGGCAGACCTCTCTGGGGAGCACATTCCATAAGTGGGGCGCCACCGCAGAGAAAGCCCTCCTCCGAGTACTCACCCTCCTAATATCTTTCACGGAGGGTTCCCGGGGAAGGGCCTCTCCCGCTGATCTCAAGGGGTGGAAGGGGAGATATGGACGCAGGTGCTCCTTTAGATAACCAGGTCCCAAGCCATTAAGGGCTTTATAGGTGATAACCAGCACCTTGAATTGGGCCCTGACGCCGATGGGGAGCCAGTGAAGCTGTCAGAGGACTGGGGTTATAGGAGAACAACGCCCAGTCCCCATCAGCAACCTGGCAGCTCTGTTTTGCACCATCTGAAATGAAAAGGTCTTGACCTTACCAGCAATATGCATCAGCTTCGTGACCCTCACGCCTCCCCCTCTTCCTTCCTTCCTTCCTTCCTTCCTTCCTTCCTTCCTTCCTTCCCTCCTTCCAGACCCCTCCTCACACTCCATGCGCTTCTTCCGCACGGGGGTGTCAGACCCCAGCGAGGGGCTGCCCCCGTTCACGGTCGTGGGGTACCTGGATGACCAGCCCTTCCTGTACTATGACTGGCGCACCCGCAAGGACCAGCCCAAGTGCTCCTGGATCAGGAAGGTGGAGAAGGACGACCCCGACTACTGGGAGCGGAACACGCAGATCTCGTGGAACACCGAGCAGGTCTTCAAGGTCCGCCTGGTGAATGTGCCCAAGTACTACAACCAGAGCGGGGGTGAGCGACTTGCGAGGGTCACAGGTCCCCGGCTCCTGACTTGTCATTTCCATGGCTGGGAAGAGGGGGTGCTGGAGGGGAGGGGAGGAGGTATCTCCCCCCAGGGCAGAAGCTGCTTCCTCACTGTGGATGGAGGAGATGGTGAGATTTCCCCCTTCCCTCCATAGGAGGACTCAGAGCAGGGTTGTATGGAGTGGTGGTGAGGCTGGCTCTGGGAGGACGTGGTCAGGGGGGGCCCTCCAGCAGAGGACAGCCCCCACCTCAGCCAGGAAGAGGGGGCTGACCGTGCCCTCCATTTCCACGCATGCTCTGCAAAGGAGAGCTCCTACTTCTGAGCTCAGAGCCAGAACTCCCGTAGGCCCCTAGACCCCTTCCACAGTGCTCTGCTCCTAATATTGGAAGCCGAAATGGGGAGGAGGGAAGTTCTTAGAAAGGTGTAGCCCCACAGCAGGTGGCAGGGCTGCTTTCTGTATTTGTTCTGCCTCAAACCGTGGCGCAGGCAGAGCCTGGGCCTGGCCGAAACACATGTCAGGGAGGGGGTGTGGAGCAGCCCCCCCCTTCCTGCTAAGATGTGGGATGGGGCTGCTTGCAGTGTTCAGAGGCATCCTGTGGCACTGGGGCAGAGACCCCGGGGGTGGGGAGCGTGGCTGAAGGGGCCCTCAGGCAGGGGGCCAGTCCAGGCTGGGGCACAGAGAGGACATAGAAACAGAAACAGAGTGAGTCAGAAGGGGTCTCCCGGGCCATCTAGTTTGACCCCGGCTCCAGCCGACTCCGCTCACAATGTGCCCACCATGTGCATGTCCAGGACAGCTCCCACCTCATGCTTTACATGCCGCATGTAGGCACCAGCTGAGTATTTAACCCCCCAGTGGCTTCCCGCCCCCTTCTTCTTGCGACCTCTGCCTCTCGTGTCTACGTGAGCCTCTCCTGTGGGCTCGGCACGTGGGCAGGCTGGTGAGGGTGTGGGGGGAGTGAGGCCATGGGGACCAGGGTCTGGGTGGGCCGGGGGACACGCCAGAGGGCACTCGGGGCAAGGAGAAGCAAGCGAGGCGCAATTGTAGGGTTCGCCATGATGAAGGTGTTTGAGGACTCCTTGGTGAGGAAGATGAAGGGCGGGCCTGTGTGAGGTTTGACCTGGCTGTGCTGAAGCCCGGCCGGCAGACTGCCCTCTCCTGGGGTGACGATCACTGCCCGATGCTGGCTGGGGGCTCCCAGGGAGGGGCTGCCTGCCCAGTCCTCCCCCCCCGACATGGAGCTGCATCCCTTGCAGGGCTCCACACCTGGCAGGAGATGTATGGCTGCGAGCTGCGGGCGGACGGCAGCACGGTGGCCCTCGACGAGTATGCCTATGATGGGAAGACCTACCTCAGCTTCGACAAGGAGACCCTCACCTGGACAGCGGCCGATGCTGCAGCCCAGGTGACCAAGAGGAAGCTGGAGGCCGAGCCGGCCATCGCCCAGCGGAACAAGGCCTACCTGGAGGGCTTCTGCGTGGAGACGCTGCAGAGGCTGGTGGGCTATGCAGAGGGGGCCCTGCAGAGGAAAGGTGAGGAGGCAGGTGTGCAGAGGGGGTGGCCCTGGGGACCGGGGTCTTCTATCCCTCCCTTTTAACCAGGACACCATCTGCACACTGCAAAGAAAGCACTTCTGGGGCTGGGGAATTTCATTCTCCTCCAAGACTGAAAAATCCTGGAAGTAAACCAAGCCCCGGGTCCCATTCCCACACTCTTCACTGCCATGCAACATCATGCTTTGTTTCAAACATTCACGCTCTTCAGGCTGAATATCTGTGAGCATGTGCAAAGTGCATTTCCATTTCTGGTGGAAGCTGGTTTTCTAAGTCATTGTATGAACGCGGTGCTCCAGGGCATGTGCAGACTGCCCCAGTCGAAAGTACCAGCTCTTAGTCTGGCTGACGATCTTAACTGGGACTTATTTTGGGGGGTAGGGCTTTTATGACGGGCATCCTGAAAAATCATGCCAGGGCTCATCTTCCGGTTAGGACTTGTTTTCGGGGGAACAGGGTACTTGTCAACTCGGACTGGCCCCCTGCAGGGCGCACCGTGGCACTGCCTGCTACAGCAGAAGGACCCGCCTGGCAGGCGGCCCCCAGGGCCTCCTCTGCCCGTTCAGGTTGTGGGAGAGGACGAGATGCCCCAAGGGGGGTTTTCCAGTGCTCAGAGGAAAGCGCCCCCTCCCCCCGCCGGGCCCTGGGGAGGCTCCGTGCCCACGCCGGAGTGGCCTGCCTTCTCCTTTGCAGAGCCACCTGTGGTGAAAGTGACACATGAGCAGGGCCGCGACGGCACAGAGACGCTCACTTGCCGGGCGTTCGGCTTCTACCCCAAGGAGATCGACATCGTCTGGACCAAGGACGGGGAGGTCTGGCTGCAGGACACCTTTAGCGGCGTGGTGGCCCCCAACTCGGATGGGACGTACCATGCCTGGGCCAGCGTCAGGCTCGACCCGCAGGACCGGGACCGCTACCGGTGCCGCGTGGGCCACGACAGCCTGTTGGGTCCGCTGGGCTTCGCCTGGGAGGAGCCTGATGGTGAGAGGCGGGTAGGGGCGGGTGCTTCGCCAAGGGGAGCAGCCTGGGGGGCAGTCCCCTTTCCTCCCACGGGCCGCCCACCCGTAAGCCGCCCCCAGGCTGCCTGGCACACCCCCCCCCCCCCGGGTGTGTTCCGGGTGCAAAGTGCATTCTCGGGGTTTTCCACACTGTAATGCCCATTTGACCCCCCCTGGCAGGGAACTCCTGCCTTGCCCAGTTTTCCATAAGCAAGAGCCAGTTCAGTCTCTCTGCAGTCCTGCAGGTTGGGGAATCGCCGGACTTTTGCCAGTATTTGTGTATTCCAGGCAAAGTATAGCCCTGTTCTGTTTTTTCCCCTTGGGAGGCAATTCCCACTTCTGACCACTGCCCTAGGAGGGGTTTCACCGATGTTCCCTGGGGAAGTTGTTGTGGGTGGGGAGGCTTTTCCTGGCTTGTCTCCCCTTCCATCAATCTTACCTCTCTCCCTCCCTCCATCCCTCCCTCTGTCTCCCCCCCCCCCCAGTCCTTGGCCATCGAGGGCCTTGGCCGAGTTTGTCCTGGTCTCCATCTAATTGCTTTGCTCTCTCTCTCAATTCTGCTTTAGCATCGAACATGGGGCTCATTACCAGCTGCATTGTGGGAGGTGTCCTGCTGCTGCTGCTGCTGCTGGGGGGTGCGGCCGCTGGGCTCTGTTGGCATGGTAAGGGCATGTCTTGTGGCTTCGGGGACCCCTGGCTGCGAGATACGACTCGGCTTCCTGCCTGCCTGCCCCTCCTCTCTCTATCAGCCCTCACTGTGAGCACCACTAGTGCGGAGCTCCAACCACACCTGCATGCCGCAACCCTGTTTGCACAGCACAACCGCGCACTGTACCCCACTTGTGTGGCATGTGTGGGGCTGCCACTTGCACGGCGCCCCCCTAGCGAGCCGCTGTGTTGTGCCAGCCCAGTGAGTCTGGGTTAAAGGAGGGCTGAACAACCCGCGGAAATCCCACAGTCTCTTTTATCAGTGATAGAACCCCGGAGATCTGCTATTGGGAGAGTTCTCCCTCCGAAGAGAGGTGGCGGGATGTGTCCCGATCCTGCTCATTTCAAAGTGGGCTGAAAAGCCACAGGAATTCTTGAAATGGGAAAGAGGAAAGGGCCGGAAACATTGGCCATCCCTTGGGCCAACACGGTGCAGCTGAAAGACATGCGGAAAGCATTTGTTCCAATGGCCACCATGTCCTGGGAGCAGGTGGGACCTCCTGCCTGGAGACCCGTTGGGAAAGATTGTGCTTCCGGGCGCCCTTCCTGTTGTAATGGGTGCGACTGGGTGCCCTCTGGAGGTCGCCTTGAATGCTGACTTTCTGTTCTGTCTCTGCAGGGACTGGTCGGGTTGGCCCCAGAGGAGCATCACGTGAGTCTTTGCATGGTTGCTCAGTGCAGCGTGGGCTGCAGTGGGAGGCTGAGAGTGTGTGAGTGTATGTGCATCTCCAGTGCACCACACTTTCCCCAAGCAAGGAGGTGTGTGTCCTAGTTTGGTATCCACCTTGTCGCTCCTCTGGATCCCCAGGAGAAGCATGTGTTCCAAGAAGGAAATGGCCGATAATGAGCCGGGTGGACAGACAGGCTCCACTTTGCTTGCCTCCTTTAATGGGGGGCCATGAGCCTTTGGTCTAACCAGCCCCAGTCTTCCTTGGTTATTATACTCCTATAATGAAGTAGTCCTGACAAATAGATGGGGAAGAAATGGAGGTAGTGACAGATTTTATTTTTCTGGGCTCCAAGATCACTGCAGACAGGGACTGCAGCCAGGCAATTAAAAGGTGCTTGCTCCTGGGGAGGAAAGCTATGGCAAAACTAGACAGCATACTAAAAAGCAGAGACATCACCCTGCCAACAAAAGTGCATATAGTCAAGGCTATGGTTTTCCCAGTTTTAATGTATGGCTCTGAAAGCTGGACCATAAGGAAGGCTGAGTGCCAAAGGATTGAGGCCTTTGAACTGTGGTGCTGGAGGAGACTCCTGCGAGTCACTTGGACCACAAGAAGATCAAACCGGTCAGTCCTAGAGGAGATCAACCCTGACTGTTCTTTAGAAGGCCAAATAGTGAAGATGAAGCTCAAATACTTTGGCCACCTAATGAGAAGGAAGGACTCCCTGGAGAAGACTGTGATGCTGGGAACAATTGATGGCAAAAGACAAAGGGGATGGCAGAGAATGAGGTGGCTGGATGGAGTCACTGAAGCAGTGGGCATGAGCTTAAGTGGACTTCGGGGGATGGCGGAGGACAGGAAGGCCTGGAGGAGTGTTGTCCATGGGGTCGTGATGGGTCGGACACAACTTCGTGACTAACAACAACATGAAGAAGAGGGAGGTGGATAGAAAAAATTCACAGGGAGCATTTCTGGTTGCACCGCTTGGCCTCCTCTCAAGGGTTTATGAAGCCTTGCAGGTCCCTCCCCCTTGAAAGTGGTAGAAGCACAGAAACAGCGAGGCAGAAGGGGTCTCCCGGGCCATCTAGTCTGACCCCCATCTAGTCTGACCATCTACCATGTGCATGTCCAGCCTGTCCTTGAGCACTGATGGGGCTTTAACCACCTCCTGGGGAAGCCCCTTCCATACCCTTGGGGTCCTAACTGTCAGGAAGTACTTCCTTGCATCCACCCTAAATCTTGGTTCCCTGAGCTTTGCTCCAGGGGAACGCGTCCTGCCCTCCACTTCAGGGGGAAAAAATCATGACCCACCTCTGTGTGGCACCCCCTCACAGACTTGTATGTTGCCAACAATGGCCCCCTCCTTCTGAATTTTCCATCTTCATTATATACCACTTCGGGGCGACTCACCTGGCGTGTTCTTTCCAATCCAGGGAGCAGCCTGGCCATCTAGGAGCCCCGGAGCAGGTGAGCGGCAGAGGAGGGCGTGATGTTCGGGACAGGGCAGGGCCTGAGGCCTGATGGGGACAACCTGACATCTGTTCCTTACATCTGAGGAGACCCCTCCACCCCTGCCCTTGTGCTGCAAGGAACATCTCCGGGGCGGAAGGGCAAGGAGCAAGTGGGTGCCTGCATCACTGGGTGACAGGGAGGCCACTGGTGGGCAAGCCCCACAGACAACCTTGCCTCTTCTGCCCTTCAAGAGGAGGATGCACAGGAGTGAAGGAATGCTCCAAAGTGCTGCACCGAGCAGGATTGGACCGCGACTCTTGGCCTCATTGCTGCGCGCCCTCCCTCAAGCCCACACTCTCACCGTGACTGGAATCGAAGCTCGGATACCCCAGACCCAAGAAGGAATCGACCCTGTGTGCCGGGGGCAACAGGTGCGGCTCTTTTCCCCCAGCCAGCCCCAGAGCAGGAAGGCCGGCGCAGTGTGTCCGGTCGCTCCCCGGAGGGATGAGGCGGCGCCCCCTGTCAGGATGCAAGGAAACTGGGTGGACCGGAGTGGTGCGTTCGCTGTGCTGAACAGGCTGGCCCCGGTGTGGCTTCAAAGAAGGGCTCGCTTGCAGGAGCCTGCGCTTATGACCCAGGCATCCGGGGGCACGTCTTTCCTCTGTTTGTCTGGCTGTTGGACTCCAGGCTCCCACCGGGGAAATTAGTTCTCCGCCTGGGAAGGCTTTTCTTGGAAAGAGTCGGCGGCGAGCCAGGAAGTGCGCTGACAAAACGAGGCTTGCCTCTGTGGGCCCTTTTGAGCAGGGTGCACCGCCCCTTCTTCCTGTGCAGCCCCACTTCACCCCCAGCTGTTGCCAGTGTGGGGCAGAGGCAGGCCCCTCCCAAAATGGCTCTGAGCTTCAGGCCCCAGAAATGCCCACCCGACCCAAGGGGGGCAGCATCAGCTCCATAGTACTCTCGAGCCGCTCCAGCAGGCAGATGGTTAGGGAGCCAGGAGGGCAAAAGCCCAGGATGGGGGCGGGCAGAGCTCTCAGGGTTTTTTCTACTCCTACCCCCATCACCCCCAGGGAGGGGAATGGGCCATCCTGGCTAGGAATGATGGGAACTGCCATGGAACCTATCTGGGTCATGCAGCCTGGCCCGCTGGTTTAAGGCAGTAGTTTTCAACTGCTGGCATTTCCTGCCGTCCCATGAAAGAGTCGCCCGATGCACACTCATGAAGCGGCTCTTGCTTCCAGGATCAGAGTGGGGTTTGCTGTGCTCCTGCTGATGATTTCCCACAATTCCCCACCTCTTCCTCTTCCTCAGCGGAGGAGGACTGGGAGGGGAGGGGCAGCTCAACAGGAGTCCAGCTGGGAGCTGGGATCCCTTCCATGCTGGGTCCCAACTCTGAACAAGGCTCCAAAGACCAGCCTTTACTGCTCTGTTTTCTGCTGGGGAAGGAAATTGAGGCAGCCTTGTCCTGGGTGCATTTTCCCAGCCAGTCTGTGCTGGTGTGTATGGGGATTTGGGGGGGGGGGGGTTGGCTGCATTTTGTTATTTAACGTTATGAATGCTATCGTACTATGTAACTTTGAGTATGTATTGCTCTGCTGTTAATATTGCATCTGAACATGTATTTGCTATGAGTACAGTACCACATTTATATTGATTTTGTATTTTGCCCTTGAAAATTTTTGATCAAGTATTCTTGAAAAGAAGCAGGAGCTGATGTCAGAGTAACCTTGTTCGAATTACATTTTGTGCTTTAAAATTTTCTGTTGTATTCAATTACAGTTAATTTCAATATTTTATTCTTTTAGCATTTTTTACTGTTCAGAATCTGGTTATTTTAGAGAATTTTCATTTCTTGGCATTATATTTAAAACTAATACACAAAATACTTTGGTTCCATTTAGATGCCAGGAAGCACTTCCTGACAGTCAGGACCCTGGGAATATGGAATGGGCTTCCCTTGGAGGTGGTTGAGGCCCCATCGGTGAGGGTCTTCGAAGATAGGCTGGACTTGCACATGGTGGGCATGTTGTGAGCGGAGCCGGCTGCAGCTGGGGGTCAGACTAGATGGCCCGGGAGGCCTCTTCTGACTTGCTCTGTGTCTCTGTTTCTATGAGCAGAGCTGGCTGGAGCTGGGGTCAGACTAGATGGCCTGGGAGAACCCTTCTGCCTCGCTCTGTTTCTATGAGCAGAGCTGGCTGGAGCCGGGGGTCAGACTAGATGGCCTGGGACACCCCTTCTGCCTCGCTCTGTTTCTATGTTTCTATCCCCCAGGCCAGAAAGCTCTTGAGATGGGAAACAAACCCATTGGGAAGGTCTCCCAACAAAAGCAGTACTTTAATAATGGGAGGGGGGCTTCAGTTCTTTGCACACTGACTGGGGAAACACACATTCCAGTTCTGATGGGGGGTCCATTCTGATGTCCTAAAGGAGCGTGCCTGGAGCTGCTGGTCGGGGAGCCCTCGGGAGTGGAGCAGCCCTGGGTTCAGTCCGTGGCAGGGTCACCCGGACACAGGAGAGGATGGGAAAGCCGCCCAGCCCCCAGGCAGCCGTGACCACGCTGGGCGCAGAGCCAGCGTCCAGGTGCGAGGCAGCCAGAGCTCCAGCCCAGCTGCAGCTGCTTTCAACGTCCCAGGAAGGAGGGAGCTGGAAAAGCAACAGCCGAGGAGGGGCCTGGAGGGAGGCGAGGAAGTCAGCCTCAGCCCCATACAGCTGCCCCACAGCGCTCCACCGAGCTCAAAGCTGCACCCTCCTCCATAACCGCCATGCTCAAGCGAGGCGCTTCAGCGGGATTTCTGCCTGAGGCCGCGTGGAGAGCGCAGCGGGGCAGAGGCGATGCCCTGCCCCCCATAATTAGCCAAATCATGGCGATTTCTCCTCCCCCTTCCCCTTCCCCCTGGGCCCCAGGGGGTTCTCTCGAAGATTGCCTGGGACGCGAGCATCACACGCAGGAGTAATACCCAGAGTGATTCATCTGCTGGGCGCTACAGAAACTAGGACTGATGATGATTATCATCATCAGGGCGCAGAGAGCTTTGGCTACGGGGAGGCACCGAAGCGGGGCCGACAAGGCAAACAAATCGCAGGCGCTGTTGCGTGAGCCGTCCCACGCACAGAGGCAGGAGCGCAGGTTCAGGTACGCTGCCGCGCCACGGCGGGCGCAGGGCAGAGGCGGAGGCAAGCCTTGACCACCTGGCGCCTGTCCTCCGTGGGGGCCTCGGCGTGCCCGGATCGCCCATCTGGCTCATGCAGGGAGCGCAGGGGAGGCGCGCCGGCCCCGGAACCAGCCTGCGCTCGCTGCTGCTGCTGCTGCTGCAGCTTCCGCGGACGAGTAGCGGGCCGCGGCGGGGCGACTGCTTGTGGTTTACGGATCCGTGGAGCTTCCACGGGCCGGGCGATCCCCTCCTTGGCGGGGTGATCCCCACCACGCTGCCCGTTTTCGCGAAGGCAGACCTCTTCCACGCGCCCCCGCGCCGAACCCTCCTTCAGGGGATGGTAAGTGAGCGTTGACCTCTGCCCGGGGGTGGCATCTTGGAGATGGCCTGGGAGGGGAGTGTGCGGCAGGGGTCTCAAGAGCAAGCCCCCTCCCAGTGCGCAGCCGCTGTCTGGGTGCGTCGGGGCTCGTGGCTCTAGTCTTTACTGTCATGAATGGGTGGGCGTGGAACTTTGGCATGTGCAGAGTGGCTGGATGCGCGTCTGAAGCCATGTGGGGAGGGGGCTGCAGGGTATGTTGCCCCTTCTTGCATTCCTGCCCCCTCAACTGCTTCTCCCCGCAGAGCAGAAGGGCTGAAAGGCGTGTCCAGAGGCTGGCGCAACTGACACAGAGGTGTGCTGGGCGTATGCATGCTAAGCAAGCTGAAAGGCACCAGGCATCCCAGCGGCTGAGAGAGGCTGCAGCAGCTAAGTTGCCCTTGGCAGCCCC